CCCCCCCTTTTGCGCCCCGGAATTTTGGAGTTGCTGAAGGAGGAAACAAAAAAAAAAAAAAAAAAAAAAAAAAAGAAAAAAAAAATCAGCAGCTCATCTTTTAGTTTCGCACTGTCAACGTGTCCACACACTGTCCGGGGGTATTCGCCAGCGCAAACAGACACGATACATTTTGCGAGCGGATAGTCGATAGTTTTGTCCTTGGACTTTTGAACTGATTTTGTTTCTGCATGTGGAAGAGTGTGAATTCCCTAAATGAGGCTTCTGGACAATGTAATGACACGTAAAGCTGGCAAAATCCTTTTTTACCACCTCCACCTTTGTCCAATCAAGGCAAAACAACAAATCAAAATGTTATATAATAGATATTTATATATTATTGATTAAAGGTCACCAGCCTGCCGTGACATTGGGGAGAGCAATAATGAGGATTTGTGCTTGTACTAACAGTGACAGCAGGTCACTGTTAACATTATTATGTTATCTGTGACGCTTGATTTATGAAATTTAAATGTCATATAATGTAGTGTACAATAATAATTGCGCCAATTCGTCACGTTTTTAAAACTTTCTTAACGTAATTATATTTTACATATTTTACATTTCTTCGGAGTAAATTTAACAGCAAGCTATTGAGCCCACCTAATAATAAACCATAAAATATATGCTATTGTTACGACATTAACATTCGGGAAACTCGGACCACCGATGCAGTCAATAGACTCGTCACGGTTTCAACTACGATCTTATCACTGGTCTTTTATGACTAAATTGTATTGTCCATTTCTTTTATATGGTTTATAGACAGAACCATGCCACTGGATGCACATTTATGCCTTAGTGCTGAGACTAAAAGATGTGTTTAATAACACTGTCATCATGTACTGATGTTCCAGTGATGGGGAGATATAAATACATAACAGTGATAGAATTTCAACAGAGTGCTCAAGAGCAGCCTGTATACGGTGTATTAAAATTATTCGTCTCCAGACAAGATTTCAGGGTTTCTTCTTCCTGTTTTTCGTAACCTCACATGAAACGTTACGGATCGTTCAAAGGCCTAACCTCGGGAGGACGAGGTTAGGCCGAACTTCATATTCTGGAGGTCTTTCTTTCTTCTAATTCAAGCCAACAAAATTGGGCTCCTGCGAGCATAAAATCTCAGATGTGTGATGTCGGAAGCGACCCAGGGTAGTTTGATGGTCAAGGCTGGCCGAAATGGTTTTTCTCTCCTCTCTTTGCAGTCCAATTGATTGGACAGAAAGAAGATGATAAAGAGGCTGGGGTGATGGATAGGAGAGGGCTGAAAAATATTTCAATCAATGTCATCTGTAGTTTCCTTCCCATCCGCAGGAAACAGGGCTGATGTCATGGTCAATATAGGAAGCCCTTTGTCACTGGCAGGCATGTGTTACTGTGTGTGTGTGGGTGTGTGTACGCACCAAAGTTAGGTTGACTAACCGTCACCATCTGGTCCCTACAAATACCCGCTGACATATCAGGCAATATGAGTGATCATTTCAGCAGTTGGTTCAGCGTGTCTGGTAATCCTCAAACATGTGCGCAACGCAAATTCTCTCCCCGTTTGATAGCTTTAACGTGAAAAATTTCAACTATCGGCGTTTCATTTTCTTTTCTATGTCGATGACAATAAGATGCGAGCAAAAATCAGAGCGGAGTGTGCACCGACGCAGTGAAAATATGCAGCCACAAAAAAAAAAAAAGAAATGGAGTGGTGTAAAATGACTCCAAAAAAGTGCTTCCACAATCATTTCACAAATTGTGCGATAGAGCACCCCTTGAGCAGAGAGTGATGTCCCACTCCCACTCATGTAGCCACAAATGTTGTAATGTACTGGTCTGATGCATGAGGACTTGAGGAAAACAGCCTGTGACTCTGACACACTTAATAACTTCCTCAAAGCTGAGTGCCTAGAATGTTCTTCAGTCAACTTCAACATGAGCTCGACACAGTGAAAAGTAGAAAATGCCTGTGATGGTAGTATAAATTTCGTGGTATTGATATAGCAATACTCACGAGTATCTATTGAGTATCTATTTCGCTCAAAGTATCTATAAATAAAACTTCTTTTAGACTTTATTCTATTAGTATCAGAGTCTGAATGAAACATTGTCAGATTATCTTTAATTGAAAAAAGTAAAGGGATATGACTGGATTCTTTTTGAATTAAGTAAATTAGTAGAACTAAAGTAGATTCTTTCACTGTGTCCCACTGCGCCCCAGTACCAAATGACCTACGGGCTGGAGTTTGGGGACTCGTGCACTAGACATCTTTGTCCCTTAATGGTAGCATTTAAACTATTTAGGTTACACTGTGTAAAAATAAAGCAATGCAGTTTGTTATGACTGTGACTGACAGTGAATCACAAACTCTGGTATTGCCCATCACTAGTCAATGCCCTTGCCTAGCAGTGGGTTGCTAACTGATGGTCCCTTCTACAGTAACCAATCAAATGCAGCGCTCGGGAGACTTAGTTAAAAAGAGTACATAAAGAATTCCAAACTTACAGTTGGGTAGGCGATCCAATCTCCACACAAAGAAACCAGGGCCAGGCAGGGACGCAGATGAGAGGACCACAAGGAGAACATGAGACCCAGGAACCTAAATGATGCAAGCAGCCGACAAAGACAGAGTGAGGGGAAGAAGTCTGTGTACCTAGAACACCAGGTGAGACGAGTGAAACTGATTAACAGAGAATCACAGAGACACAGGTGAATTACCTCAGGACGGACAGACCTGACAAAACGATTGTGATCAGAGTCACATGATGTGACATTGGCTGGCTTAGGTCTAAATAAAAAAAAAAAGACATGGAACAAGAACACACAGAAGAGCTATTAGGTCATTATGAAAAGCCTGGTAAAGAGCTATCCTAGGAATTATGGGAGATTTGCTAATACTGTACCTACCTATACTGTCATTTGACCATTCATACTTCATTTGCATTATTTTATGTAACATAATATGAGTTTTCCACAGTCCAAAAACATGGAGGTTAGTTTAGGATAATTGAACATTTTTAACCGCAGGTATTCACTTGAGTCTACGTCTTAAATGTGGCCCTACAACGGACTGTCCAGGAGAACTGTCCAGGATGGTTGGAGCAGAGGGCCCAGGAATCTGTATAGCAGTATACAGTAAACAAAACATAACAAACCTTACATGGTCTCTCTTTCTCATGACTTTTGATCACGCTATTGAGTGTAATGTATTGGTGTTCTATTCTTTAACCAAATTACAATCCTCCTACACATCATTATTTGCACCCACTGCATGAGTTTTTGTTTTGGGAGCAAGCCTGTGTAGTTAATCAATCATGATTTTCTTGATTAATCAGAGCTAATTAACCAGATTAAACATTTTAATTGTTGGCCATCCCTGGTTAATTAATAATACGTTTTGTGTGACAACGTGACAAATGATGCTTGAATGTTTGAAAGTATCTGAAGTAACATTAAAGTTGATCCTACCGCTGCTTCGAATCTGTCTGAGTAACCTTGGGAAATACATCTTCTTAGCGGGATTCCTGATGCAGAGCGCTGGTGGGAGAGGAAAGTCAGAGAGCAACATCAATTAGGAAAATTATCAACTATGTCACACGCACACACACACACACACACACACAAAGTCATAACAGGTTCCTTTCAGTGCAGCAATACATTCCTGTACTGACACAATGTGAACAAGGTATTTCTCACAGCCTTGGGTTCTCACACATAAAAGACACATTCTCTGTTATTAGGAAGTGAAGGCCTTATTCACCTGCAGCACATCCAGTCAATCACTGCTGCAGAGGATAATAAAAGGTGAAACCACCAACACTCACACACAGCCACTTGAAAAAACACAGATGAGAACACAGGTTAATGTACATTGTATTATACCACAGCTGTACATTGAGTTTACCATTTTAAAACAGTAGTTTACTTATTTTAACCAAGTAAAAAAATTACACACACTTTTAGTAGGAAAGTGTATGAACTTTTAGGTAGGGAAGTGTATATAGTGTCCAAATAATGAAGCCTTAGCTTGACGCTGGTAACATTCCCTCGTTGTTATCCACAATAACGACAAAAGAAATCCACAGGAATGTCGCCATTCAGTCAAATTGTTTACTTCTAAATAATAAATAAATAATAATAAAACAAAGCAGTAATTTTTAAACGGCTATCAAACATAAGAAAAATCATTTTAAATTTAAAAAAAAAGTGAGAGTGAGAGGTCAAAAACTGCTTACCTCCATTTCGCGCTTCCCTGACTCTTCAAGTAACCACATCCACACAGGTATTTTCAAATTAAGAGTCAATTGAATGTGCAGAATTATTATGAAGCCACAACGTAATCCTAAATATCGCAATAGCAACATAAATTAAATGTACAAACATATTAAATTCCCCACACGTGTTATAAATGCAATAAGTCAGATAAAAATTTCCATTCAACATATGCACTTAATTTATTGTGAAAATATTAATTAACTACAATTGCATTTATGTTCCTACAGGGCATTTATATATTCATAGTTGTTTGTCTAGTGTAAGCAAACACTATTATTCTAATGTTTGAAAAACAGTTGTGACCTGAGTAGGAGTTAATAAGGAGGGAATAATAACTTTATGTAAATTTTTTGTTAAAACATACACCCACTAACAAACGCAGGATGTCAGGTAACACCGATAAAGCTGCAGGTCGTCGCGGCATTCGTGTTTGCTTTCACAAGAGAATAATAAAACCTTATTTTCAAATAAAGGCTCGCAGTCACAGTTTTTGGTCACATGTTACAACAACATCCGCGGCATTACTCTGTTTCCCCGCTGCCTCACCCGAGCCAGTATATGAGCAAAGCTGTGGCTTTGATTAATGCCCAGCGAACGAGAGATAAAGAACCGCACCGTTGCTGATGCCATATGTTGTGGGTTTAGATTGAGCTCGTAGAGATCGGTGTGATCTGGGACTCCGAGGTACGGAGACACACATCTGTGTGTATTTGTGTACACACTGCTTCAGTGACCCTTGGTGTCAGCCGAACAGGTGTTGTTTGTGTCCAACGCTAATACCATCCATGAGAAACTAATACAGACACACTATAGTAGAACACTGTTGTCTTTATTGATATTGTTATTAATAAGTAACCCCCCCATTTATGTCTCCCCCATCTCCCCCTTTCACTCTTTGACCCTGAGTCTGTACCTTCTGGAAAGTTCTTCCTGTAAAAAGAGTTATTTTTCTCCACAGCAGTGCTTAATGTCTGCTTAGTGATCTAATTCCAATATTTGTAAAACATAAACTGCTCTATTTCGTATTGTCTATATAAACAATGTACTATATTGACTGTACATACTGTTCATTCGTCCATTTCCCCCCGTTATACAGAAGGATAGTCTTTATTCCTTTAGTAAACGTGGCTATAAAAATAACATGGACATGGAAGTTAAACTACTATAAACAAAAGGTGTAAAAGTGAAACTTTAATTTGCTTTTTAAACGTTAAGATACCAAAGCAAAGTTACGTTCTATTATTGCGTTTCATCTATGCTTTTTAAACGTTAAGATACCAAAGCTATTCCCAAAGACTACACGCAGGTCGAAAACTAAAACACTTACATTAATTTATTACTATGTTACTTTCTATTATTGCGTTTCATCTCATCGTTGTGCCTTCGTTTCCTGTTTAAAAGTGTCACTGAATATATTTATAAAACGGCTCAAATGTAATGAAATCTGTAACGTGTGAATCCAAGAATATCTGCTGTCATAATACGCAGTGACGTAATGATTTACAACCGTTAAACAGAGACTCGATTCTGCTCTCTCTTTGTGGAGACTTTGCCCTGACTCAGAGGAGAGCGCGCAAACAGAGCAAAGGTTGGACTAACACCGCCCCCTCTTGATCCAATATACACATGACAGGCAGTGACCTGTGACAGCTGTCAATACTGTACCAATGGTCAGACTAGAACAGCGCTTTTTAACCTATAGTAATTGATTGAGGGAAAAAAGGTCACTTTTTTCAGTGTTAAAATGTCTGACGTAAAAAAAAAAAAACAATACAAAAAAAAAACAAGATTTTGTTAGTACAGAGGACAAGAAAACCTCTCTTTCCACCTTTTTTGGTAAGACTTTATTAAAAAGAGAATTTCTGAGTGAAGAGTCCCTCTCCCTGCCACCAAAACTTGTCTCTGTTAAATGTTAAATGGACCAGGAAGTAAAAGTTGGCCTGGTTAATGCACTGATATACAACAAACATCCCTCTCATCGACAATTCTACAATAATGAGATGCATATTGACACTTTTTTTTAAATGATATCTAAAAAAAAAAAAAGCCAATCAGGCAGAGTAGATTCCTTACTCTGTATACACAGAGTGACAGCAATAATATAATGTACTTTCATAATACTAAGACAGGTAGCTCAGAGTTTGGTGAGAAAAAAAAAAAAAAAAACTACTGATGGCTGCAGTTCCTGGCACATGTAATACTTTTTGCCGCACATGTATAAACACACATGTACACACACAGTGAATGATACAAAACCACTAGATTTGGTCCTAAACAATCAGATGATTTACACATACATACAACAATCAGAAAGGAATTGTACCAAAGACATAAAAGCTGAATTAAATTCTACATGTGCCTGAGAATTTTTTTTTTTTTTTGCCTCATTTTAAAAGTGATGGTCAGCATTAACAGTCAGATTACACTGTGCCAAACAAAGGATTCAGGCAGTTATCATCACGGCCAATTTGCTTAAATCCTTTTCCTCCTCAACAGCTAAAGTTTGCAAACTCATACATCTCCTGCACATAAAATGAAACACATCTTTTAAGCTTTCAAGGAAAAAAATGAGCTGCATTCTGACAGACGCCTCATTAGAAGTTCTTAGTGTTTCTGCAAGCTCATTTGTGTAAACGCAGACATTGGGGAAAAAACAGGCAGAGGCAACAGGCAGGTTTATCGGTCTGAACAAACTTCAACTTTCACTCACCGCAGGAGATTTTCTTTAGTTCCTAGTGTGATTGAGTAAAGGTTTGTGCTGCATGGGGCGCTTTTGGCAGCGTGAGCTAATCATGGGTCACATACAACAACACAAATCGATTATAGGATTAATGCGTGTTTTCACATGATTGAACTAATAAACTTAGTGAATCACTATAAGCAAAGACATCCCACTGACTCCAGCTAAACACAGCCTTAGTAGGTATGAAATGTAAAAAAAATCGATGCATTTATGTAATCAAAACATTTCTGGGCGCAAAGAGTCCAGCAGTCTCTGGTAAACTAAAAGAAGACATTCAGTGATACTATTTTACATATTTATAAGATGAAACAAACAACAGAAGAAACTGTCCCAGCATCACACCTGGGTAAAAATTGCACAAAGTATTTGACTGAGATATTTCCGTGAGACAGGACGATGGTTCCTAAAAAGGGTCAATATTAAATTGAAACTGTACATTTTCTTTTTTTAGTCACGATAAAATTGGAAAATTGTATTTTTATAATAATAATAAAAAAAAGAAAAAAGTTGTAGAACATACAAAAAGTTTTTTTTATTTTTTTTTTTTATAAGTCCTAAAACAGTCCCTTGCTTTTCTTGAGATTCTTCTGCTTCCAGTTTGGCAGGGCGTTGAACTCAACGCGACTCATCTCGAGAAGTGTCTGCAAAAACAGGTCAACAACAAAGGAGCAACAGCAGTTGATGAGTGATTATGTTTGACCTCTATATTCAAGGTTTTTGCCCATTAACTTATATTTCTATAGCTAAATATATTTTAAGTGTTAATAGTCAAATAAAATATATATGTATATATATATATATGTATATATATATATATATGTATATATGTATATATATATATATATGTATATATGTATATATATATATATATATGTATATATGTATATATATGTATGTATATATGTATGTATATATATGTATATATATATATATGTATATATGTATATATATATATATATATATGTATATATGTATATATATATATATATGTATATATGTATATATATGTATGTATATATGTATGTATATATATGTATATATATGTATATATATGTATATATATGTATATATATGTATATATATATATATATGTATATATGTATATATATATATATATGTATATATGTATATATATGTATGTATATATGTATGTATATATATGTATATATATATATATATGTATATATGTATATATATATATATATGTATATATATATATATGTATATATGTATATATATATATATGTATATATGTATATATATATATATGTATATATGTATATATATATATATATATATATATTTATAATTATCTTCTAAATGTGTACTTGTACCTTAAAATCCTGGTCAGACAGGTAATCCTCTACACGCAGAGGATCCACTCCCTCCGGCAGTGGTTTGCGAGTGAGTTCCTCAATGGAGTACTGTTGTTTACTGAGCTGAGACAGCACATCCTTCACCAACATCACTTTGTTCCTGGAGCTCTCCCCCTGTAGTCACACAGATACACACACATACACACACGTCAATTTAATGAATCATGTGACTGACAAAATTGTCAATAGGCATCAACGTGTCTTTATAAAGGAAGTCGTACAAAATGATTGTACTTCCTTAAATGTTAGCATATAAAATGTTATTAATTCAATGTTTTTTTTTTATCTTTGGACCAAAGATTATTTTTCATGTAAAGCACATTGGGACAGCCTTTCTCTAAACAGACAGGTTTCCAACCTTAGAGCTGATATCGGCATTCTTCTCCCAATATGGAAATATGTTGGTGAATGTGAGAGGTTCGAAGCCTGCGACGACCAGATAAGCCAGAGGGGGGCGCCGTGGGTTCTTTTCTGAAAACCAAAAATATCACAGTGTAAAAAAAACCTATCCACAGTGAAAACATTTGAACTACAGTGAGGTTATTTTAAATATTTGTATTTATTTATTTTATTTTTGATTATGATATTTAATCACAAAGAAAATCTACAGTCTATTAGATTTTTTTTTCACTTATACACAATAATTCTGTGACGTCTAAACACGTCCGCTGGATCATCTTTAAGCCATAATCCCTGTCTGTGACCTCTGACCTTTGCAGTACTGCAGCACCGTCTCCATGGCACACTTCCTCTCCGTGTCCCAGCGCATCTTTGCAGAGCCGGTGCGCTGCTCGTCTTCAGGCTGCCAGCCCTGCCACAGGTACACCTCCATACGGTTATCCAGCATGAAGAGAGCTGAAAGAAAGGGGAAAAACATCTGAGGACTTTTTCCTTACAAGGGAACAGAACCCGAAAGTGGAGATCTCTATGGAGGGACAGGGAACAATTCTGGAAATTTGGCTTTATATTTATATTTACGAATAGCCAGAAACTAAGGCTGTTTTTGTAATAAATATTCACTGAAGGAAATATACAATTAAAGATATATTTATGTGAAGGATTGTACATTTCCAACAGGTTTTTCTTTATTTTCAATATTCATGACAATAACAGTAAAAACAGAGTTATATTTTCATTTTCTAAATTATGTACTGAATAAGTACAAAATACTTAATATTGGGTCCTGATGCAGTTTAGTAAAAGGCAGTTGGACTAGTCACGGGCCGGATTGGACAGCTTGGCGGCAACAATTTGGGCCGCGAGCCAACAGTTCATAATTCATAAAACAGAGTTTTTTGGGGTGTTTTTTTATGCCTTTTCCCCATACAATATACAATACTATGTACAGTAGGTACCTGGCTGTTCTACTGCATAGAGGTTCTCCTGCAAAAAGGGCATTCCCATGACGCCCTCTGTCACTCTGGCAGGATACAGCTGCTCTTCCCCTTCAAAAACCCCAGAGCCAGCAGTGAGGCGGAACAGCCTGGGAGTGTAGTTGTACTTCCCTGGATCTGTAGACACGTGAGTCTGATTAGTAATCATCAGCAAAGCTGGAAGAGTTATAACTGGCAACCGCTCACCTTTGAGCATACAGTCGTACGCCTTCTTGTCCTGACCGCCCAGGGCCTTCACGAACTCCGCGGGTTCGCCTCCTTCGTCCACCTCCTCAACCTTCACGCTGCTTGTGCCGCTCAGACCCAACTCTGACGGACGCCTAAACATAAACACGAGGCTAGCGTTAGCCGAACGGCAGTCGCGGAGCCTTCCATCGCATAT